ATCACCACCACAATCATCATCATCGGCATCATCTTCATCGTTCGTAGCATCTTCATCAGCACGATCGTCAGCATCATCATCAGCAGCATCATCATCAGCATCATCAGCATCAGCACAATCATCATCATTTTCATCATCAGCAACCTCATCATCAGCATCATTATCATTATCGGCATCAGCATCATCACCATCATCATCGTCTTTCCTTATACCTGTTGGAAAATCCTCCCCTTCTAAACACGAGACTGGTCGGTAGGGCTGGGCGTTTCGCCTGAGACTTCCGCACCATTTAGGATCCTGAAGCTTGGAAGTTACAGAAGTTGCACGGATGGGAGGGCGGGCCGTTTTCAAAATGTGGCTCTCGCCTTAGCGCCGCGCGCATTCGATTTGCTCGTTTGCAAGAGCTTCACGGATGAAGGGCGGGCCGTTTTCAAGCTGTGGCTCTCGCAGTGGCGCCACGCACTTTCGTCTCAAACGTTTGTAGGAGCATCGTGGATGGAGGGCGGGCCATTTGCAAAACGTGGCCCTCGCTTCAGCGCCCACGCGCATTCTTCTTGAATGTTTGCAGGAGCGCTTCATGGATGGAGGGCGGGCCAGTGCCAGTGTAGAAATGTGGCGCCCGCCTCAGCGCCGCACACATTCGCTCCAACAGTTCAGAACAATCTCAAGGATTCTTATGGCTGCCGTCCCAGAAGCGGCGTTCTGGAACGATTTAAGGCTGGCAAGGCGCGGCAGTGACGCTGCTTCGCGGTGCGCACGTCCCAGAAATGGTGTTCCAGCACGATTGAGGATCACCAGTTCGCAACAACAACGTTGATTTGCGGTGTCGAAATCCCAGGAATGCTGCCCTGGCACGGTCGAAGACTTTCAGACGGTTGTCTTCCAACGGGGCTCTTCCCGCAGTGAAAACGTATCCGTATAGTAGCCTATGAGGAGGGAACTTGGAGGGAGGATGTATTGTAACATCGTTGATGAGTCATGGGCTTACACTGGTCATCCTACTCCCCCTTCTCGTTCTCCGATATCGCTACGCGATCAGGCAGGGTCTCCAGAGCCTCTTCCTCATCCTCCTGATCCTCTCCCAGTCATCCTGCTCCTCCGCCTCCTCCGCCTCTTCTTCCCTACTCCACCTCGACGGGAGCCTCTCCCTCAACCACCCCATCCTCGAGATCAGGAGCAGCAGCAAGGAAGCGGTCGGACCCAACATCTCGCACTGCTTCGAGGCGAGGCAAGTCCAGCCCAGGCAGCTCAAACGAGCGAGTCCCCACCGAGAGGGGGGGCACTGTTCTTAGGAAGCACTCGGCCAGAGGCGGAAGAGCCGCGATACTGCGGCTTCGGCATCCCTGGGTCTCAAGAGACGGTCCCCCAACTCCTGCCCCCACATCTGCCGCTGCTGCTGCTGCTGTCTGCAGCTCTTGCTCTTTGCCACACGTGTCCCACTCTTGCTACTGTCGTCGCTGCTGCTGAAGCTCCCGCCGCTGCCACCGCCGTCAATTCCAGGCATGATACGCCCTGCTGCCGCAGCCTCGTCTCGGGTGCTCGTTCACGCAATAGACGTGGGGTCCAGAAACGTGCAGCTTCCGTACACCTTTTGGGCACGCGGTGGCAGAGAAGGGCCCCCGTATAACGATCTTCCTGAAATCCTCGACCCCCCCACGTTTACTGCCCCCCCCTTTACCGCACGCCCGATCGTCCTGGTCCCCCTGCTGCTCCGGCCCACCTTCCTCCCCCGGGAGGATTCGGAGGGCCGTCGTCGCTTGCCGCCCCCCCCTCCGGCAGCGCCTCCTCGATCGACTCGGTGGCGGTGCTGGCAAACGAGGCCTTGTCCTGCCTGGAGGGCACCTCGGCGTATCCTCTTGTCCCCCCCTCGATAGCGCTCCTCGGTCCCTCTGCACGATCCATCTGCTCAACACTCCTCGATCCTCCTCGATCGTCCTCATCGATCGTCCTCATCGATCGTCCTGCTCGATCCCCCCCCTGATCGTCGTCCTCCTCAACCGTCCTCGATCAAACTCAATCTTACTCGATCGCCCTCGACAGGCGCTTTCGACGGCCCTCTCTCCCCACCCCACCACCCCGACGTCGATTAGATGTTGTTTCTGCTCCCTCGCTGTTTGCACATCGTTTTGTCACAACGGCGGTGACCCCGTGAAAGTCAAGTCTCGACCCCTTTCCCAAGGACTGGTTCCATCATGATGTCACGAATGGCGAACAAACGTGTGTGTGTGTGTGTATTTATGTATATATATATATATATAAATATCCACGCCCTCGCGGCGTGGATTATGGTGCGCAATTACGTGGGCATGCGGTCGCATGGATTACGTCGCGCGCGGGGCATCCGCGAACAAAACACACCGCGTCCGTGAGGTCGCGGCACAGGGACCCAGACCACAAGGCCGTGGACGTACACACGCCGCCCACGATGACGTAGTTATGTTTGAGTCGGGGAGGAGGAGGAGGAGAAGGGAGGAGGAGGAGGAGGAGGAGGAGGAGGAGG